AAATAAGGTGGTCTGGATGACTGATAGCTCAAGTTTATTACTTTATCTTTTTACTTATTTTTTTCATTTATTCTCAACAAATATTATACACATAAAAAGCTGCACATAAAAAACCATAAGCATATTACAAGAGCAAAATAATTACCAGGATATATCACAAGGGTCAGAGTGAGTTCAGAACTGGTTTAATATAAAAAGGTGTCAATATAGTTTTAGACTTGCCATTCATTTCCCATACACTTTATTCTACAACGATGGCCCCACCCGACATTTGTTACAGACGCCGAATGCCGAACACAGTTCACAAAAGTTGGAGACCATAACAACATATTAAAGCATGTTTTTGTGTCACCATTTAAAACAAGGCATTGACATGCAAAATGTCCCCACCTGGCATTTGTTATAGACGCCTAATGCCAATCACAGTCCACAAAAAAAGTTGGAGACCATAACAACATGTCACCTGTCAACATGTGACAGGTCATCATGTCACCTCTTCTAATAGTGACATAATAATTCATCAGTCATATATTTCTGAACAATTGTAATTAAGGAACTAAATTCATTGACAGTATTTGATATACTATCAAATTAAAACCTTCCGCTGACAAACTTTTGGAGGGGAGGGTATACATTGATTAATTTAAGAGTTAGCTAATATAATATACCTGCCCCGCCCATGTCTTCTTCAACATGACCATTTTTCCAACCCGATTCTTCCATGCTTGCTTCTCAGCTTCATCAATAGGTGGCTCTCCTATCTCCACAAAAAGTTCTTGCACAGACAGGGCAGCGACTAGGGCTATCACATAGGGTAGGAGGTTGTGTTGATGGCCTAAAAAACAATGCCATTTCAGATTTTAAATTATTTGGGAGTGAATATTGTTCAAGTTTACCTTTTTTCGTTTAGAATGTTCAAAGAGAAAAACATTGGTGTCACTTATCGGCCATAATTCAATCTCCATTTCTGCATTGATTTTGCATATATTATAGCTTGTATGTTTTATGTATTTTAAGTGTCTACGTACCAAGAGATAGCATCTTGCCATATCGAGGAGCCACTGGGAAACATGCCATGGCACGCCCTAAAGGAGATATTCTTGCACTGGGATTGTCCATTTCAGCTCTCTGGGATTTTCGTGTGGGTTTTTGAGGTTTAGCAGGGGCCTCCAAGGCCCCTAGAGATAGCAGTAATTTTTCAGCAGCCTGAAATGAATTGCATCAAGGTATCTGTATGCAGAATATCAAGGCAATAGTTTGTTTTTGTAAAGTGAAACACTTCAATATCTATAACACTTTCCAGAGTCCCACAACATATTACCAAATTCAAAATACCACTAATATTAATCTATTAACCTTGGGAATTCAATCTATTTTAAACATTCAATGATTGTTTGAAATTAACTTGAAAATTAAAAGCCTACCTTCAAAGCTAGTCTATCAGGAGGGCTAGGAAATGGGAAATTCACCACTTTATCAATATTGAGGTCCTGCAAAAACATAAGAAAACCTCCTAAATAGACTTTTTGATTTATAAACTACAGTGACATACATTATTTTTTTCACAAAACAGTCAGTAACAATATCATTAAAAGATGACATCTATATAAAGAAGATTCACTGAAGTATTCATGGAATCATGAAATAATAGGGAAATATCCCAGAATTAAAATATGAACCAATCTCAGTATAAAGAAGATTTTCTGTATGTTCATTTTTACATATACGGAAATAGGTTCACCTTTGAATTTCGGGTATTTTCCCCTCTTTATACTCACCTTCATTAGGAGCAGAAGGTCATCTACTGGACGTCTAGTGATCTCTGGGGAAGAGAACAGTTCAAATTCATCATTGAACACAGCTGAAGAATACAACCTGCAACAAATTTGTCAATGAAAGAAAAAAGAAACATTACTCACTGAACATGTACAGCCAAATAATACATGAAGAATACACCACTCACAAGGTGACGTCTAAACAACATACTCATATATACAAATGTGACTGACTTCAAAATCATTTATTTCTCAAAACAGAGAAAAGTTGGAAAAGGAGCATGTGGGTTATCACAAACAATTTCAGAAGGTTATATCTTGGATTATGACTATTTTCTGACAATGAAGACAAGTTTATCTTTTAGATCAATTCATTATCTCAAAGAAAATTATGCACAGTAATAATAAATTCAAACAAACTCGGAGATATTTAATTAGCAATTAACCAATCAACACACTTTTTCAAAGATGTTGACCCCATTTTCACCAAAAATGCAATCATTTTTTACAATGTTTAATGCATTACTATTCTTTATTTTGATGTATCAAATAGTTCTTGAAAGAAAAACTTAATTGCATTAAGATAAGTGTTCCCAATGTTATTTCTCCATTGAAAAATCTCATGCTATCCATTGGTTTCAGTTCATTTTGGTCATCCAAATTGAATATCTTTAAAGTCCCCGGAGCAATCAAATTTTCCCTCTAGGAAATCGAACATGTCTCAAAGCACATTCTAATTATGCATTCAACAATATATTAATAGGTTGCATTTTTGATGAAAATTAGCTCAACATTTTTGAAAAAGTATGTTGATTGGTCCATTGCCCCTTCAATATCACTTAGGTCTGATTAACTAAATTATGATTATATATACTTTTCTTGAAGATAATGAATGGATCTAAAAGATACACCCATGTTCATGATCAGAAAATATTCATAATTCAAGTTAGAATTGTTTGAAATTGTTTGCGATAACCTACATGCTCCTTTCAATGACAGTCATCTGAGATCAAATAGGTGGACATTATATGTACATGGCTTGTAATCTTGGTCACCCTTGTGACTTTTATAAGTCGAAATCAGATGCAACCTTACCTGTAGCAGTGACCCGGACCTGTTCGACCAGCTCTTCCTGCCCTCTGATTGGCTGATGCCTTAGATGTCCATGTGATCTTAAAGGAGGACACGCCTGTCACTTTATCATAGAACTTCGTCTTCACCTGAAAGATGAGCAATCAAATAATTCAACTACATGTAATATTCATATAGAGCATTCTGAGCACTTTTAAGTGTTTTTGGCCATTTGTGGACCAGAATGTTCACAAGATAACCCCCCTGGAATTTTTCAAAAAGTGAACACTCTTGGCAAATCCTGGCTATGGACCTGTAGAGTAAAACCTATCTAGCTAGTCTGACCACCATTGGGACCAGCCAAAAGTGTTTGAATTAGCAGGTGTTCAAATGTCAAGGTTTGCTAAAAACAGAATCAAAAAATATACAAGTTTTACCGCAATTGCATTCTGCACTGGTAAATGCATCTATACATCTATGCTTAAGAAGTCAGGAACTAAATGATCCCCAAAAAAACATTATTAAGCAAATATTCTCTCTTGTTGAACGAAAAGGAACATATTCAACAACTTTTGATATTTTTCTTGTCAGTATTTATCTAGATCTAGTTTCTGGGAAATATTTGGGAATTTCATCGAAGACATAATGGTTTAATCTTAATCTGCCTACCTTTCCAGTGTCAACCACATATTTAATGTTCGGTATTGTAAGTGATGTTTCTGCCACATTTGTAGCAACTACTACTAGTTTACCCACCTTTCCAGTGTCAACCACATATTTAATGTATGGTATTGTAAGTGATGTTTCTGCCACATTTGTAGCAACTACTACTAGTTTACCCACCTTTCCAGTGTCAACCACATATTTAATGTATGGTATTGTAAGTGACGTTTCTGACACATTTGTAGCAACTACTACTAGTGTACCTACCTTTCCAGTGTCAACCACATATTTAATGTTTGGTATTGTGAGTGAAGTTTCTGCAACGTTTGTAGCAACAACTACTAGTCTATGGCCAGCAGGGGGCGACTCAAACACCTACAATACAAAGAATACATAGGAATTTCCAGAATAACTTTGAGAATAAAGTTATATTTAATAAAAATGCACAGCAATCCAGAAACGGTGAATTTATCTTAAACAGAATCGATTTTTTCATATCATATGGCTTGCTTTGCCCTTCCTGTTGACTCCGACAATCCCAGCATATAGGAAACACTTATACAGGTCAAATAGGTATTTTTCTCATAAGCACTTAAGCGAATCACTGAAAACATCCATATGGAACCCAATTCAAAGCAATACAAATATATAGATGCATTTACCTTGGCTTGTTTATGTGTTGGTAACATGGAGTAGAGAGGAAGGACATATATCGGGTTCTGCGAGTCACCTGGCTCTCTAGATACATCATCCTAGAATAAATAAGTAGAGGTTATTCTATATGAGGGCCAGGATCTTGGAATTATTCCTTGGGCAATATAATTGATCATACCATCCTAGAATACAATAAATGTAATACAACTTGCATAAACCTTCAAGTGGAATGCATAGATTTTCAGTTGGGTAAAATGATGGCAAACCAGTGAATCTCATTTTGGAGAAAATCTTTATCATTTGTAGGAAACTTTCAAATGTCTTGAGACAACTTCAATTTTATCTAGTTACATTTCCAATTTTGACGAATGTTATAATCTCAACTTTTATCAGTAATTTAGTTATTGTACAAATTATTGATAATCTTACAAATGTATCATCGTCATCAGGCTCTGAGAGCTCTTCATCTGATTGGTTGTTACCATGACCACCATCTTGCTCCGACACCTCATCATCTTCAGGGAGAACAGAATAATCATCAAGTTGCACCCTGGGAATTTTTGTTTTCGCCTGACTAGAGTCTTTGTCTTTTTCCTGTACAGCTGGAGCCAGTTATTTTACAATTCAATGAAGTGCAAAATTTTTGTACTTCCAATCAGAGTCGCAAATTCTTGAACTAAACATATATCACATCCATCAACAGCTGGACAATATTTTTAAAGAAAACTGGCATTTTGATTGAATTGCCCTCTTGAGAGCGGTAGTAAATCTATAAAACAATATTTTTAAGATGTGACATGAAAGTTGATGTTGTAAAAGTTCACTTGTCTTATATGATATATAAAACTTCAAAATATCATGATTTTTAATCAATTTTTACGATTTCAGACTGGAAATCTTTACGAACTGAAATAAGTCAATTAGTTCTAAATTCTATAAATTTAGAATTCCGAAGGCAAGTTCCAAAATCTGCTCCATTCCACTTCCCTTTCTTCCCAGCCCCAATTGATCAATACAAGCACTTACATCCCTTTATTCTTTGTGTTGGTTTTCATAGCAATAATGCTATCTGTCCTGCTCGTGCTCAATGTGTGTCATGGATATACAGGTCAAACAAAATGGGCTCACCAAACAATCATTATTATTCTTTCAAAAAGAGCAACATGAAATTTTGTCCTAAATAAGAGTATCTTGAATATTCTAATACAGTACAAAATGTCCCACACAATAAACAGAGAATACTTGGATAGAAGCTATGAATGACAAGATATTGGGATGATATATGATTGAATTAAATAATCAAAATTTTCTCTAAATGTACTATAATAGAGATATATAAGGGTTATGTACTGGGAGGTTTTGGGTACAGGGTTTATCCAAGGGGAACATGTGTATCTCCCGAGGGACAGATGATTGACACACCTACTGAGGTTCTTGGTACATAATACCTCATAAAGTTCAAAATACAATTACGTACTTTAAAGTACGCCTTTTCTCGGTCTTAAAAGGTAGTTTTCAAGTTTTGTGAAATGTTCAAAATCATATTTTTCAGGAGCAGATCAATGAATTGATAATAAAAAATTTAAAATAAAAAGCATAAGTTTGAAAGATAATTTCTATTTTGTGAATTGAGTAAAATGTAAATTGAGTTTGCTTTTCAGAAGCGCGTCTGAGATGAATACAGCGTGTATCAATCCTGGTCCCGGACCTTGGTGAACACTCCCTACTAGATATACTTTATATTCCCGCTTGTTATATACCTTGAACATCAGTAGAAATACATGGAGTTATAACAGTGACATGGAATTACTACTTTTGTTTTGATCTAAATCCTAGTGTCTGATAAAAAATCTTTGGTACATGTTGACAGAAGATGAGAACATGAAGTATTTTAGTTAACAAACTGACAGGCATTAAATTACCAAATACAGGATTTAGATGGATATGAAGTATTAAAATCAATATACAGTTGCATGGTACACATAACACAAATGAAACGTTTTTTTTTTATAATTTCTTAATTCATATTTATATAATTTTTCCTAGTATGCCTAGTATGTACATGCGACCTTATGACAAAAATATCAATCATAACCACTGCCTGTCATTCAACATTATATACAATGTTTTAAACTATGTTGCCATAGCAATAATGCCAGTCCTATTTCGTTGACCCTATGGCTTCTAGTTTTAAGTGCCATAATTGTAGGACCCACTGCAAAAACAGTGTTGCCATAGCAATTCTGCCAGTGGTCTATTCTGATGACGACCTTGCTTCTACTTCTAAGTGCCGAGATTTTGCCACTGCAAAAACATGTTGCCATAGCAACACTGTCAGTCCCATAATGGTGGCCACACGGCTTCTAGTGCTAAGTGCCGAGATTGAGGGATCCACTGCATAAACTGTGTTGCCATAGTGACACTCTCAGTCCTATAATGGTGGCCACACGGCTTCTAGTTCTAAGTGCAGAAATTGTACGATCCGCTGCATAAACTGTGTTGCCATAGTGACACTTTCAGTCATATAATGGTGGCCACATGGCTTCTAGTTCTAAGTGCCCAGATTGTGAGATCCGCTCCGTAAACTGTGTTGCCATAGCAACACTGTCAGTCCTATAATGGTGGCCACATGGCTCCTAGTTCTAAATGCCGAGATTGTGGGATCCACTGCATGTAGGCAGATAATAAATCTGAAATATAAAAAAATGATCCTCTTGAAGTGTACAAGAAAAATAGCTACGTGGACCAAAGTGTTTATTACATGTGAGTCCATTATGAAAGGGGTGTGCCATATATGTTTCCAAACAACGGACCATCAGGCTTAGATCAAATACAAGAAACAAATGTTGCCAAATTAGTCTAGTTACATTAAAGAATTGAAATAAAATTCTAACCTATATTAATACCTTGTTAGGTATCAACAGATTTAGAAGAGATGTAGCATATGCTTCAGTACATATTGTATTGGAAAACAGCCATGTACTAAATAGTCTAGGGTCAAGTTTAATACATCCCTTTTTTGTATAAGTATCCAATTATAATCTAAAGTCACATTTCTTAACTAGGAGAGAAGTGTAGCATTGTCCTTGGTTTCCCATTATACCTAATCGAGTCATTTTTTTATTTGATTTTGGTCTCTTTATATAGTACAGTACCTAGCTTCCAACATTCACATAACACTTTATTCACAATCAAGTATTAACATCATTAGCTACAAAATCAAGTGACTTACATGTAGGTTGACTTTCCCAGATCTTTAACAGTTTAGTTTTGCAGTCGACTTGTTCTGTTAATAATTCTTTCAGTAGACTCTCTGTACGTGGCTGCAATCTGAAAGAAATAAACATCAAATGTTTACAGTAAAACCAGTAAATCCATCTGAACAACTGTCAATTTAAACACTTTTTTCAATCCCATATACTGTTACATAATTCCATGTTAAAAACTCAAAATGTGAACACCAGCCAATCAGATCACTTCAGCTCACTCCAAGTGGCATTTGAATTAGACAGGTTTTTCTCTATGTGTTATTGGACATGTCTTAAACTAATATGACTAATGCAAATTGCAAATCCAGATATACACAATGAATTGCTTCAATAGGTTATATTTTGTCAATGCTTACTTAGCCCATGACTTATTCATGGTGGCAGGCGCAGACAGCAGATCCTCTCTGAAGGGCTTCAGCTTAGGACATACAAGTCCCTCCAAAAGGAACCTAGCGAAATACTTGACGCGGTCTATACACTCTGGGTACTCCAGCTCAACTGCAGGGATTTCCCAACAACGGACCCCTGTAATAAAGTGTCACTATTAACATACAACATATACCAATGGGAACCTAGCTAAATACTTGACACGGTCTATGCACTCTGGCAATACGTCTCACTTGCCTAATTCATGGTATCATTCAGAGCATCATCTTTAAAGGCAAGTTTAACGAGGCATTATCATGCATAATGTCACAACCTGCCATTTGTTGCAGATGCTAACAGCCAACCACCGAATGCTGCCCATGAAACATCAAAATGCCAAACATCATCCATAAAAAGTTGGAGACGATAACTATATGTCACTACTTGTGAGAGAAGAGAATTTTCAAAGATTCTGGATGATACAGAAAAGTAAATATTTGGGAACTTACCATATGTACTTATCATGTGTGCGAGAATATTTCCTGAAGAACTGTCGTATCTAGGAGGGGGTGAGTCAAGGGGTTTAGAAAATGTACAACCATGGGGCACAAACACTGGCAGCCACTCTGCCTCTATCACAGAAACACTTACAATATTGGAGAATACTGTAATGATTTTCAACTTTATATAATTATGCATGTACGAGTTTATATATTCATTACATGTATACATCATTTCAATTCTATTCTTTATCTGCCATTAAGTTTGTGAGTACTAATATGTGACCATCAATTTATAAAATCATAACAATTTTCCCTCATGTCTTTCTGATATTTTTTCTTTCTAACAGGGAACACATTTTATCCCAAGGAGTATATATTTCTTCATTCAATTTAATACTGGCCTTTCTATTGGCTCACATGTTTGTTACTGCTCTATATTTATATGTATTTAGAGTGGTGTGAGACACATGATTGATAACTGTGGAGTTTGACCATATGTGTACTTGTGCGACATCCCATTTAGTGAAAATAGAACAGTTTGAAATTGTTACTGATGTTTTGTTCTATAAACTCTTGATATGGTGTCAGGTGTAGGATGTTTTTCTTCCTTTTTAGCACCCTCTCTCTGGAAGTTTCCCTTCTTTCTAACTTTATCCTCGTCAGCTCATCCAAAGTTTGTCCGATTTATCATATGCAGTTATGAAAATACAATTTAGCTGATCTCACCTCTCATGTAGAGTTTCAATGTTTCTGTGATGTCTTGGAACACTACATATTCATGGTTTTGTTTGTATAGCACAGAATTGGGATGTATGTAGACAGGCTCCTCTAGGTGTATACTCTAAAACAATTATGCAAATCTAATGATCAAAATGCCAATGAATCCCATTGAGCATGGAGCAGTGATCTACCAAGCATTAAAGCAATTGAGCCGAGTACCCACTTGTATTTTGGAATAGGTTGGTGATTTTCAAACACTTGAGAATGAGAAAAAAATGGAACTGCAAATCAAGTGAACATGGCCATTATTAATCAAAGGTTAGGAAATATCAGCACTTTTAAATCAGGCTCAAGTATGTGCAGATAAAATGGCCTAAATCTCAAGTCTGAACATTGAAAATATTGTTGTAAAACTTCAAAAATGTTCTATTGTCTTCTAAAGTCACAGGAAAACACAAAATTAAATGCTGTTACATCAGGCTTGTAGCCAAGGGTTTGAGGGGTTCAAGCACACCCCCTGGCCAAAATTTCTTTCAAAATCGTGCAGTGTTTCACCATTTTGAGCCCTTTCCAAATGATTTGGATCTTTTTTTGGGCTAAAGTAGTCAAAAGTGAAGCCCTTTGACATTTTTCAAAAAGTGCCCCCCCACTGTTGGCAAATCCTGGGTACGAGCCTCTATGTGACCAAGTAGTATAATCAGTAAAATTAAAATGAGTTAAAGAAAGCATGAAACTAACCTGATATGCCATCTTTAACTTTTTCTTTTCTTCATTTGTTCCAGTATTTGGTTCTGGAAGTTTTCTGAAATATCAGTCAACAAAATAGTAAAATTAAACACCACATGACTCAAATCCAATTGTGCACAATCCTTGAACTTACTGATTTAGCAACTGGGTATTTTGAGGAATTGCTGAAATTAAAATGTGACATAAATACCTTGCAATGTGATCAGAAAGCCCTGTCAGGATTATTTGACATAAAAGTTTCGCCTGTAGTTCACTAGGGGGTGCCATCTTTGGATCCATGATAACATTAACTGCTGGTAGAACTGAGTTTACTACAATAAAGATAAATAACTAGAAAACAGCAATTCCCTGGAGTAGCAAATCCCATCATATTAAAATTTCATAATAGAAATGAGCAGGAAGTAGAATAGTAGTTTTATGTCCATAGGACATCACGTCACATCAGCCTGAAAAGTGTTGGACCCTGTATATAAAGGTAGCCATTCTAAATTTAGCAGCCATTTTGTTCTTGAGCAAAGGTGTCATTACATGGGACATTAGCCCACAAAATTTCAACCAAATCCTTGACTTGCATCTAAGTTATCAAAAATTACATTCTTTATGACAATTGATGACAATGTCAAATAAGTGGCCAGCTTAACAATTTTCTTGTGAGCAGAGGTCTTTTGTTGCTAAAGCATCAGCATATGAAATTTGAACCAGATCCAGCAACCAGTGTTTGAGTTAGCAACTCTGAGCCTTAAACTTTTAAAATTTGTTCATCAAACATGAACAAAATCACCCTAATATTTTTATTGCGAGTTACAGCAAAAATCATAAAAAGAAGACCATGACTGCCATTTTTTGAAATTGTCATCTATTTGCCGAATTTTCATTAGACAGTGTAGTATTCATCTGAGTTATCATATATAAAATGTCAACAACATCATTCTATTACTTTCTCAGAATAGCGGAAAATGTAAAATAACAAATGACAATCAGTTTTGAAAAATCTACTGACCATGTCATTGGAAAAAAATGCTTCAAAGAATTCATATATAAAATTTCAACAAAATTGAACCATGATGACTATTTGAGTCATAGCAAAATAACAAAAAATTGCCAAAATGTCACCACTTGCAAATGGTAACAAAAGTGTAATAATTGCTACAGATGAGATGATTTTGTAAAAATTGGTAAATTTGAACAATCAAGTAGAAAAAGATGGCTCTTTCAGCCTTCAATATGTTGTCATGGTAACAGCTATTGGCAGAAATGTGTAAGAACTCATGAAATGTTTATATCTGTTCACAGGAAAAATTTGAAGGTTGTTAAGTTATTGGAAGTTGCTAGAATTTGTTACCGATGCCATTATACCCCCCCCCCCCGACACCAAACACCATCTACAAAAAGTTGGATAATATAACAATATGTCACAATATGCAACATAAAAAATAATGAAAAGTAGAAAGGTATCTAACAAGGATGAAAAACAAACAGATCAATACTTTTAAATGAGCAATAAATAGTTACAATGTTGCTTTGTTATTCATTATATGTAAATATGGAGATGAGGTGAAAATTACTTAATACAAAACTGCAAACAATATTCAATACTTTTAAATGAGCAATAAATAGTTGTGATGGGTTTTATAAATGATATGTACATACGGAGATCAGAGATGAAAAATACTTTCAAACATTATTGTTTAATATATTACCTCATCTATTTTCTGATGATCGCAAAATCAATTGATTAAATAATGTACTGTTAAAGACATGCTCTACCCTTGTTAATTAGCATTTTTGTTGAGATAAGTCCTTATGATACGAAAGCATATATTTAAATACATATCTCGTATGCAGGTAATAATAAAGGTGTTTTCAACTTTTTTATTGAAATTGTCAAAAATATAACAAAAATATTTGGTATAACAGAAATACTCAATTATAAATGGTTGCCAGAGTAATAAAAAATCAGAGGACTTTTGGCATGTAGAAAACGTGTGAGAATGGCATCATACACCTGATGTTCAAATACCTGTACATAATAAGATATCAACATTTTGACCTTCGTTAGAAGAGGAGAGGGAGGGGGGGGGGTAAAATCCCTTACTAAATTAAATATCTTTTTTTGGAGGACATTCAAATATTGACCCAGCCCCATATATGTTTTGACTACCAATTTGTTCATGTCAAAAGTGAAATGGCACTCTATTCACATAACCTTGTTCTCCATAGATATGTGCTCTGGAAGGTATAGCATGTCTTTAAATCACAGTGATATTGCACATAATTATCTGCTCGATGCAAAGCGGTTAAATTAATGATGCATGCAAATTAAAAAATATGTTTTCATTCTCAGGTAAATCAACTTAAACCAAGCACCGTCAATATATGATCAACACGCATCTTGCTAGAATCATGTATCTTAAAGTATTGTTAATAGTATTCCTCGTTGGAGATGTTCATTTGCAAAAAAAACTAAAAAAAAACAGTACATGCAAGAAAATGCATATTGACAACCTTGATGCACGCTTGAGCACACAGCTTAGTGAACTTAAATCTGATACACAAAACTGCTGCACAAGAGATGAAGAAAAAATGAATGCAGTTAATGTTAAAGTGGAAAAGGTAAATGATAAAATTGAAGAAGTAAATGATAAAGTGGAAGAAGTAAATGATGAAGTGAAAGAAGTAAATGATAAAGTGGAAGAAGTAAATGACAAGGTTGATGAGATGAAAGCTGATGTAACTCTTATAAAAGATCACTTGAAAAGGATACAGGACAATTTACAAAGTAAATCAGAAGGTAAGACAGCTTACTACTATTATATAAGTTGTTTCAATATTTAATCTAGTAGTATCACGCTCAATGATCGGAAGAAATGAACGGAGGGGGAGTGGTTGATTTTTGCTAAAAATGCAACAAATCTGCAAGATTTATTTTTTCCAACAGAAAGTTTACAATTGAATTCTTAAATTAATAGGGGCAGTACACGGGGAAATATCTAAGGTCTTCTGTGATTTTTTTTAACCGAGAGGCTTCTAAAATATACGATCTATTAGAAAAGGTGCAGCATCACCAACATGCAAATGTCAATGTTTTTGCTGTAAATCAAGCGACTAAAAGTGATGTTTTCATCACAAATTTAATGCCACTGCTGGTTTTTCAAAATAAGTTTCCATACGTTAGATAGATAATTGAAATTAAACAGAGGTGGGAGGAGAGGGGGGGGGGAAACGGAGGGGGGGGGGTAATATGTCTTTAAGGTGAAAGAAATTTCCACGGATTTGTGTATTTGAAAATTGAACTCAGTAACTCAGTAATAAGTTGATGTTACAACTCTGAAAGTGAAAATTAGGTATATTTGGAGTTATTGGAAATAAAGTCAAGTTACACCTCTTATCATATGTTTTATAGACAAATTACTCCAATACTCCCTTTCCGTTCACTCCCCCCCCCCCCCCCCCCCGTTACCCTCCCTCAGTTCAATTCTAATAATTTTTGATTATTTATTATATAACGTATGGTAATGTATTTTACAAAACCAACAATGACAATAGTAAAAATAAATCTTCCAGATTTGTTGAATTTTCTAGCGAAAATCAGCTACTCCCCCTCCATTCATTTCTTCTGATCACCAGACGTGAGTATAAAGTCGGTCATCAAATATTTATTATTATTTCTTCATGCAGTCATGAAAAAATTTAGTTTGGAGAATATTTTCAAACTCTAACTATATGATGCCTTTATGTTTTTCAGTACCTTTGCCTCATGACTGTAGTGATGACACATGCTTTACTGGTGTTAGAAAAATCCAACCACCAGGACAAAATGCATTCAGAGTGTACTGTAGTGGTGGGTGTGTCTACATGGCAAGGCGATTTGATGGGGGTGTTGATTTCTACAGAGGCTGGACAGAGTACCAGTCAGGATTTGGTTCCCCAGGAGGAGAATATTTCATTGGCCTGGACAACCTTCATGGTTTAGTAACTCAAGGGAACTATAAACTCAGAGTTGAACTTACCATGTGGCCCCCACAGAGTGAAACAAGGTATGCTGAATACTACAAATTTGATGTGAGTGATGAACACGATAACTACACATTGACAATTGGAGGTTATTCTGGAACTGCGGGGAACTCTCTTCGTTACCACAATGGTATGGCATTTACCACAAACGACCGTGATAATGATAAATGGGGCGACAATTGTGCTGTTCATTATTCCAAAGGGGCTTGGTGGTTTAATAGGTGCCTAAATTCAAATCTGTTTGGTATTTATAGTACTAATGCTAGGTGCCCTACTGGTATTGTGTGTGTGATATGGTACAGATGGCCAAACACAATTGGCTCACCTAACAATTGGTATTATTCTTTTAAAAAGATTGACATGAAAGTTTGTCCTAAATGGGCGTGAAGGGGAACATAATAGGATAATAAATGACTTCAAAATTTAAATATACTATTATAGAAATGTATGGAGTTATACGTGACTTTGATTATGTGATTTATTCTATCTTAAATTGTCAATTTATTGTCAGATTTTAATCTACCTATCCTCAAAGACCCCTTTATGTCGTCCCACTTATTGCCATTTCCAGATCTTATTCTACCTATTTACTAGGTAATGGCAAAGAACCCTACATGTGCCATTTTGGTCTTTCAACAATTACCACAAGAATCGGCTGGTTGTTATATATTAAAAAAATTGACATTATACAAATATTGAGAAATCAAAAATTACATTTTTTAAGAAAAATGTCAGCCACTTTGAATTGAGTGGATAGAAATCCTATTTCTCCAAGACATTAGGGTTTTAAGTTTAAACCAAATCTGACAACTTTTATCTTAGTTAACAAAAATAACGCTGTTACCCAAAAATTTGGAGCAATTGTGAAAATTGGCAGCCATCTTGAATCTTCTATGTCCTTAGGCATCAGCCAATTTGAACTAAATGCGACTACTTGTATTTGAGTCATCAAAGATTATTTTTTACAAAAAGTGGGGTAACTTCGAATTTAGCAGTCATATTGAGTTTTCCTAGACATAAGATATCAGCCTATAAAACATAAATCAAATCTGTCAACCCGAACCCTGTCAAATCTGCCTACCTTTGAATGCCAAATGCCGAACAAAGGCTACAAAAAACTTGGAGACCATAGCAATATGTCACAATTTCTGATGGTGACATAAAAATGAATGTAGACACTTCTTAATACAAAAAGCAGTTTTAATTTGTAC